TGTTCACCCCTTAGATTCATCACTCTAAGCTGTGTACTACCTGCTGTATATGTTCACCCCTTATGCCTGTCTGTTATTTGGCTGGAAGCCATGGGAGTGCATTCAATTCCACGCCAAAAGGGTGACTAGGGGCCATAGTCTCAGGGGTCTCACGGGGCTCTATCAGACCAGTAAACCTGTCCTTTTTTATGATTTTGAGGGTTTTTTTCCATGTTGTTCTCCCATTCTATCCAGGATCTCCTACACTGATCCCTTTCTGAGTAGTTAACAGTGGTAGCCAGGCACCGTCTAGTTCTTCTGGTCTCAGGGTCTTGTAGGCTGAGGATCGCACGGTGTACCGGCCCCTTGGACTAATTGTTTCTGTGTGCTTTTGATTTTCTTCATTCTTCTTTGCTCTGGATAAGGAGAGACCCATTGTTGCATCTAGATGGCCGCTTGTAAGCTTTTAAGCCTCTGGCTGCTACTTACCAAAGTAGGATGCAGAACAATGTTTCTGTTTTATGCCAGTTGAGCTTGATGTCCCCTGTGACCATGGTCTCAAGCCCACAGGTCCAAGTATCGCTCTGTCAGGGTGGTTGACTGTGCTGAAAAAGTTATCAGAAGTTTGCCCCCTGCTAGTTGTAGTGTGAACATTCTCACAGCACATACAAATCCACGTGTGGAAACGTCACCTGCCAGCCTTATTCATGGTCTTGGGTATATTTCCTTTTGCCTAGACAGCCCTGGTCATTCAGCCTGTCTGCCTATCTGTTTACCGCTAGGGGAGAATTTTGATTGCTGTCTCACTTAGTTGCCCTGGGGAGCTGCAATAGGCCACCTGGCCTTGGAGGAGGACACAGCAGGGCGGGGGCATACCAGGCTCCTGGGCCTGGCCACCTCCTCAGACCAGCGTCACGGCCTTACGTTGATTGGTGGCTGCCGGAGAGAAAGCTGTTCCACAGGCCTGTCCCCGCAGACGCCAGCTCCTCTCCACCTGCGTGTGGCGGCCGGTCAGCGTAGGCTTGGCCACTTCTTTCCTCAGGATCATGGCACTTGACTTTGTCCTGAAATAGCCCAGAGCGAGGAGATGATGCCGAAGGCACCGTGATCTGAGGCTTCGTGCTGCACGCCCTGACTGACTGGATTCTCTCTGGAAATAAAGAGTAGAGTTTGGCAGATGGCCCTGTTTACGTGATGACCGGATCTACTTTCATTGTTGAGCTGGTTTATCGTTCTGTGTGTAGAGAGTGATACCATCACCCCCGTGTTTACCCTACCACTGTTCACAATAGCAGGAAGGTGGGAGCAGCCTAAATGCCCACCAGCAGAGGGACGGGCCAGCACGCACGGTGCCTGGGCACAGCACAGCAGCGGTGACTCTGCGACACCTCGTAGCCTGGGTGGACCTCGAGCCCCTCTGCTGAGCGAAGTTAGTCAGGCGTGGACGGACACGCGGTGTAGGAGACCAGGAGGCCAGACGTCAGGAGAAGGGTTTCACGAGAGCAGTCTGTGGTGTTACCAGCGACCCGACAGCGTGTTAGCAGGGGTGAAGAGGGAGGTGAAGAAGAGAGCCCGTCTGTGATAACAGTGAAGAAACGAAGGCAGAGGCCAGCAGTGGGGTCTGGCC